GGGCAGGTCTGGAACCCCTGGGCTCAGGCAATCCTCTCGCCTCCTCCTCCCAAAGCGCTGGGATGCCAGGCTCAGCCACCGCACCGGGCCAGGGTCACCCCACCCATTTCTAGGAGAAACCCACCCCCAAACCCACTCCTCAGCACCCCTAAGGATAAAGGTTATGACTCAACCACAACTGGGGGCAGACAGGCTGTTTCTGCCCGCTGCCCCCCTTGGGCGTGTTCTGGTCTTTGTTTATTCTGCTCCTCTGTGGGGCACCCCTTCTCTGCAGTGGGGGTGTTCAGGCACGCCCCCGGGGGCCCAGCTCAGGGCCCTAAAGCCACCCCACACCCCCCAGGGGAGGGGAGCAGAGGTGCAGGAGACGGAGGTAAACACCGTTTTGGTCTCGGTCCCCACTGGGGCTGCCTAGGATTGGACACGGAGGAACAGGTGGAAGAGGCGTGCCAGGGTGTGCCAGGCTCTCTGGACAGAAGAGGACCTTTCGCCCAGGACGGGGAGATGGTTGGCTTCCTCAAGCTCCACCCCACTCACTCTGCTCTTCCACAGTAGACGCAGACGCGCCATGCACAGACGGTAATGCTGCCAACAACCCTGGCGATGGGTTCAGGGGAAACTGAGTCCCAGAGAAGTCCCACTCAAGGTCTGTGGTCTTTATTTCTCTGCCTTTGGGTTTTTTTTGTTTTTGTTTTTGTTTTGAGTTGGAGTCTCACTCTGTTGCCCAGACTGCAGTGCAGTGGCCGCTCCCGGCCACCGCAGCCTCGACCCACTGGGCTCCGGTGATCCTTCCGCCTCAGCCTTCCAAGTAGCCAGAATTATAGGCATGCGCTACCACGCCCAGCTGATTTTTTGATTTATTGTAGAGATGAGGTCTCGCTGCCCAGGCGGGTCTCGAAGCCACGGGCTCAGGCAATCCACTCACCTCAGCCTCCCAAAGGCGCGGGATTACAGGCTGAGCCACCGAGCCCGGCTGGGGTTTTTTTTTGTGTGTGTTGGAGTCTCACTCCGTTGTCCAGGCTAAAGTGCAGGGGCACGCTCACGACCTCCCCAGCGTCGACCTGCTGGGCTCTGGTGAGCCTTCACCCTCAGCTTTCCAAGTAGCTGGAACTACAGGCGCACACCACCACACCTGGCTAGTGTTTTTGGCTCATTGTAGAGATGAGGTCTTGCCAAGTTGCCCAGGCTGGTCTTGAACCCACTGGGATGACAGACTGAGCCACCGAGCCTGGCCTGGGTTTGGTTTTTGCCAGAGCGAGACTCTTTCCTTCCATCTCTCTCTCTCTTCCCCTCTCTCTCTCTTCCTCTCTCTTTCTCCCC